AAACGGAAGTAGGCTAGTGCTTACAAACTCTGGTGTATTCCAGACAGAGACCTAATGATCTTTATGTACGAGAAAATGACCTAATGGTATTAGATTTACCAGATAATGACCTAATGATCTAAGACGTACCAAACGTTGACCTAATTGTCTTAGATGTACTAAACAACGACCCGATGATTAAGATGCACTAGACAATGATCTAATGATCTTAGATGTACTAGACAATGATCTTATGTTCTTAACTAATAACTACATAATGATCTAGATCTTATTTGTATTTAAAAACAACGTATTGATTTAGTTCTATCATACCTAAAGCAATGCTTTTTTTATAATTCAATATTTCGTTTATAGCACATAATGACCTTAATGCAGAGTTTCTTCCAGGCATCTCTTCGGGGGGGGGGGGGGGCTTAACCCCCCCCCCCCCGAAATTTTTTTACTGCCCCCCCCCCCCCCCGAATGAAATGAAATTTATATAATTTATATGGAAAATATATACTTTTAACAGTGTCCGCCCCCCCCCCGAAGAAAGTCTACCGCCCCCCCCCCCCCCCCCGAAAATTTCAAGTGCCCCCCCGGAGAAAAAAGTCTGGAAGAAACACTGCCTTAATGTAATTTTAATCAGCACTAAAGAACGGCCTGTTTCTCCAAACTCCGAACAGTACTACCTTATGTACGGGCTTACTTAGCTTACCAGTATATAAACACTGGCTTCAGCAATAACCTTGTTAATTTCTATCTTGCCACTAGGAGAGTGGAAAATGAAATGGAAATATTTGCAAATGTCTCGCAGTTCGGAGGTCGGCGTGATGTAGGTCAGTGGCCAGATAATTAGCAGCGCTTCTAGCCAGAAAGTTGGGGCACGTCTAGATATTTTCTCAATGTACTGTTAACGGATCGTTAAAATACATCGTGGTTTGTAGCTTATATGGGTACTGTGTCTAATGAAATTGACCGAGTTGACAAAAATAATTTCATTATTATTGTTGACATTTAAAAAAAAAATTCATGTTTTTTTTAAGATTTTGCAGTCAAATCGACCGTAAAAGAAAATTTCAAAAGAAAATTTAAACCTGAAAACAATTCAGATATTTAATATATTTAGAATCTATGTTATAAAAGTTGCAAATTATAAGACTTAAAGTTATAACCCGATGTTTCACTTTCGTAACAGAAACATTGATTGGCTGTACAAGAACTCCTGGAATATTCTGAAAACCCAACTTCATAAAAAACTCATAATAATATGTACTCAAAACTTCGCCGATAAAATTTGAAAATTAAATTAGATGTTTTAAAAAAAAAACATTTGGCCTACTCAGGCCATTTAAAAAAAAATCTGCGATAAATCTAAACAATCATTTTGTTTTTGGCTTTGTTTAAAAAATTGTTTAGTTACCGAAAATGCTACAACTTTGTTACATGTCATGTGGCATTTTATCGCATGACATACAGCCTTTATACAAAGACATGTAGTAGCCTAGAGGTAAATGTATAGTGCAAAGAGATTTAGGTTGTTGGTTTTTAAATGACTAATTTTAAATATGTCGAAAAAATTATTTTAAAGTGAAGATTGAAGATTTTATTAATAGACGGGAGTTGAATTTAACTAGACCGGTGACTGGACGTGACTTTAAGCAGACCCGTGACTTAACTGGAGTTGACTTTAACTAAACTGATGACTTGACTTGAGGTGACTTTGATTAGACTCATGACTTTACATGAGGTTACTAAACCAGATCGATGACTTAACTGGAGTGTGTAACACTTGTATGATGGTTCAGCCGTCTACAGGGTGTTGTAAGTCAAAAGAACTGACCAGTCAAGTGTCAATGTTTGACCAATCAAGTGACATTGTTTGACCAATCACATGACATGAGCTGACTAGTCACATGACCATGTTTACGTCCATTCACCCCAAATCCGATCTGATCAAAATTATTCCACCCCCCCCCCCCCAATCAGGTGATTAGCATCAATCTGGACAGCGTACACACATGGACTGCGCATGCTCGGACGTTAAAAATAAAAGGCCAATCAGAAACCGTCTTATCTTAAATAAGCCTAGCGATGTAGTGGTTATTTCGCAACCCCACCCCCAACCTATCCTCACCACACCACCCTCTCCTCCCCCACCCTCTTCTCCCAACCCTAACCCTCATTTCTCCTCATACCCAACTTCCCCCCCTCACTCCAATCCTCTCCTCTCCAACCCCAACCCTCGCCATCATCTCCTCCCCACCCCCACCCTCTCCTCACCTCCCCACCCCACCCTCTCCTCTCCTCACCTTCCCACCCCCACCCTATCCTCACCTCCCCACCCCACGAGTTAAGATAAACAAAAATACAGTAAGTATTACTGTAAAAGAATTGTGCTAGTTTTAGGATTAGCTCAAAATATTTATGAAGTTTTACCAACAAACATATCACGTCTAACAAATGCTACCAATGTTTTAATGAATGCCATTACAAATTGTTATCTAACCCGCTTGTGGCCTTACCATTAAAACCTGAGCTACCCTAATATTCCCCCCACCCCACCCCATCTCATAAAGTATTATCACGCGTGTATTTGCTTCGTACCCTGGTACCACAATTCTTGAAGTGCCCCCTGGGTGTCTTGTCTTCCCGTGAGGGCTGGATCTTGGATCGATATTTTGATCAGTCGTTAGGATTTCAACTGACCACACATTAGGTGCAAGAGGGGATGCCAGATCAAAATTCCCCGGGGACATGTCGTGTTTTCCCCTGGGGTGCGTAAGTTGTGGATGAGTTGTATGTGAGTTGTGTGAGACGACACGTGCACTACATGCATGGTGTAAATGTGGATGATTCAGCCAACCACACAACAAGCCAACTAAAAAACCACCAAACCACACAACTACCCAACAAACAAACCAAACGACCATCCAACCAACTAACCAAACGACCACTCAACCAATACACCACCAAGCCAGCTAACCAACTAACCACCCAATTCCCCTACAACCTAAACACGTATCCACCCCACCAAACGCCTAACCACCTAACCAGCCAATATTGTAACATACCCAAACGGCCAAGAGTACCCCAGTTGACACCCAGTCAACACTCAGGAGCTCCGCCCATGGTGTCCCACCCTCTAGACTCCCCTCCTTGACCCAGCCTCTGACCCACGTAACACACCTGACCATTTAGTTTCCCCCTCTAAACATCTATACCTAGGCCAACCACTACCCCGTCTTTACCCAAGGGCACACATCCTCACTAGCTGTTGCCCTATCTCTACCAAAAGGCCGTAACGCCAAACACATCTTAGCCGCATCTATACTAACGTGCTGTCACACCAACCATGGCACCCCACCTCCCACCAAACATTACCTAATCTCAACTGTAGGACCCCCATCCCCTCACCGATTATGGCCTTATCTACACTAGCCCCCCCCCCCCCTCACCAAGTTCGTATCTCCACACAAAGCCCCCCCCCCCAATCGCTTAACTACATACGGCCCCATCTCCACATGGAACCCCATCCCACACCAACCACCCCCAACAAGGCCCCCCACCACTAACTATTCCCAATCTCCGGTAGCCCCCCCCCCCCCACCACTAACTATCCCAAATCTAAACAAGCCCCCCCCCACAACCAACTATCCCCCATCTCCACACAAGCCCCCCCCCCACTAACCTTCCCCATCTCCACAAAGTCCCTCTCTCACCACTAACCACCCCCCCCCATCACCACACAATACCCCCCCCCACCAACTATCCCGCCATCTCCACAAAGTCCCCCTCCCACCACTAACCACCCCCATCACCACACAATACCCCCCCACCAACTATCCCGCCATCTCCACAAAGTCCCCCTCCCACCACTAACCACCCCCATCACCACACAATCCCCTCCCCCACCACCAACTATCCCCCCATCACCACACAATCCCCCCCCACCACTAACCACCCCCCATCTCCACAAGGTCCCCCATCCCATAGTCCCACAAAGACCTTCATTACGTATGCTAGGACGAGCCTGTACACCATATCGCTCTCACTGACACGTGACAAGCTAATCCAATCATATCACCATAACAAAACACTGCACCCGCACTGGCTTTATTCACATGAGAAATACCATGACGTCATATTTGCACGTGACAAACATGGCGGCCTTGGATCCTCACTTCTTTACTTTATTCAAACACCGGTAGCCATTTTTTTTTCAAATGGACCCCACGGCGTCCTAAGCAACCGTGTTATCTAGTTAGCCTAAAAAAGGAAGAATTTTTTTCTTACAAGACACCTTGCATATTCTTTTCCCTTGTTTTCACTCTGTCTTGTTTTAGGCATTTTGTCTGAAGTCTCACTTTCTACATTGAAGATGTCTCACTTTTTAAAAATTCCTGTCTGAGGTCTATCCGTCTCTTTGTCTGAAAAAGTCTCACTTTTTAACTTTGGTGTTTGAAGGGCTCCCATTTCTTGCCCGATGAGATACCACAGTTTGTATGTTGTCTCACTCTAGAAGAGGTCTTATTTATGGTAAGTAGAGGTCTCCTTTCTTACCCGAATAGAAGTTTTACTTTCTTTGCGAAAGACCTCTCACTATTTTGCTTGAAAACATCACGAAAATTTTACTTACCAAATAGAAACCCCACTCCCCCACATAGAAATACCACTTTTTCCCCCAATAGGAATGCCACTTTTTCCCCAAAACAGAAAACTCACTTTTCCTTAATAAAAATCCCACCCCAATAAGGATCGCACTCTCCCCCAAGAGAAATCTCACTTTTCTCCATTGGGAATCCCACTTTCCCCATTGGAAATTCCACTTTTCCCGAAATGGAAATCCCACTTTTCTCCCCAATATAAGTCATACTTTTCCTTAAAAGAAATTCCACTTTTTCACAATTGAAATCCCACTTTCCACATTGGAAATTCCAATTTTCTCCCCAATATAAGTCATACTTTTTCTTAAAAGAAATTCCACTTTTTCACAATTGAAATCCCACTTTTCCCAATAGAAATCCCACATCCGCTGGAAATCCCACATATCCTCCAAAAGAGATCCCATTTTTCCCCAATAGAAATCCTACCTTTCCCCCAATAGAAATCCCACTTTTCCCACCAAAGAAATCCCACTGTCTTGCCTGAGGATCTCCCTCTCTCTACAAACTACACGTCCAATTCCTTCAGCTGTAAGATACAATGTCACGAACCGCCCGCTCATTAGCATATTTGATTAGCACGCGCCGTTTCGCCCCCTTGCCCCTCCCCTCACATAAGCTATTACCAAACACCCCGAAAGAAAAGTCTATAAATAGACAGGGCGTTCCCGTCGTACACCGCGGCTGGCATCAGAAACAGTTTGTCAAATTAGTTTCATTTCCGGGACGTTTCAATCAAATTGGGGGCAAAAAAAATGGCGGCTTTTTTTTTTTAAGCGTGTATCCCAGACGATAAGGGATGACGTCAGGTCTACCTGGACATCGAGACCTGTGACGTATGTTCTGTCTGACATCATCAGCATGGCATCTGTGTAAATGACCTCAAATTATGCACTTAAGCGAAATTGATAAAGACAAAACAACACACAATACCATGTAATGGATTTACAGAAAAACAACAACACAACATACAGATACATACATACAGACATACACAGAATAATGCACACACATGAAATCGCATATCACACATACTCACTCATGCCTCTACACATGATGTACACACACACTCACACACACACACATACACACAAACATGCATTCAGACATGGACCAGAATTAGCCGCCTGACAACACAACGTAATCAGTCATGTTACGTTTTAACAGAGATCTTATTTGAAGAATATTATTCAAACACAACTTCCGCAACATATAAATCTTCTTCTTCTTCGTTCTTAATTTTAGTGTTGGTAGAGATCCCCTCCAATACAATTAAGTATACGTGTCAACTGGTTGTGCACCATCAAGGCCATTGACTCATTTTTTAGCCTGTTTTTCTTTTTGGATTTGCTTTCATAGCCTTTGTCCAACCAAGAACAAACTGCAAGGCAGCAGTTGTTTGATTTTGGACTTGGCTCTCCTAGAAGAGTGGCTGTTCCCAGCTAACGAGCCTCATCTGCCCGAGGGTTTGAACTCGAGACTATTCGGTTTAGCAATCATGAGCTATACCGACTCGACCACGCCGACCCCAACACAACATATAAATGACTTCAGAGATAAAATAAAAACAAAAATAATTTTTAAGTTTCAATTTGAAAAACTATGAGAAGTGGTTTTAAAATTCATTAAATTTTAACAGAAAGCTTTCTTTGAAAAATGTTATCAAAAACAACTTCCATAACACATAAATTACTACAACCGTAAAAAAAATAATTTTTCAATTTAAAAAAACAAGTAGAAAAAAAACTAAAGCCATTTCTTTTAGTTTCAGTTTGAAAACCTATGAAAATTGGTTTTAAAACTCATTAAATATACATCAAAATACAAAAATGTAGTTTATTTAAGATAGAAACTTTCAAACAAATCTGTCAAGAACCCTAATAAATCTCTAGTCACAATGTTTTTAAATTTAATGATCATTTAAACTGTTTCAACGCCATTTTTTTTAAAATGACGATACTCAAAATGGGATACTTTAAGCCAGTTTGCTAATAAATTATTATTATATTTTTTAATGATAGCTTGCCAAACTGGTAGTTTAAAATTTGTTTTGAAGCGAGGTATCTGGCCCTCGCAAAAACCATGTAAAATGGCAAACAGTAAAATGTAAATTATTTAATATTTTTGTTCTTTTTTTTTTTACAAAACTATATAATTAATAATATATATTTTACAACACGATATAAACTTTTGTTCTGAACCTAACGGTCTATAGGGTAAGTAAAGTAGAGCTTGCCTGTTTCTTTGACCTCTACAAATGAAGGGATAGTGTGGTCAACCCTCTACCCTAACGTGACGTTCTACGGACTTGAACCAGGGATTCGAACCCGAGATTTCGACTACACCGTCGCACATACCTAACTGTGATATTTTCTAGTGCCCCATTATTATATGCCCCTATGTAAACTATTCTGATGCCCTGTTATTCTATGCCCATATGTAATCATATCTATTGCCTTGTTATCATACGCCCCTATTCAACTTCTCTAATGCCCTGTTATGAAATGCCCCTATGTAAAAAAATTATCTGATGCCCTGTTGTACTATGCCCCTATGTGAACTATTCTGTTGTCCTTTTATTCAATGCCCCTATGTAAACTATTCTGATGCCCTGTTATACTATGCCCCTATGTAAACTATTCTGATGCCCTGTTATACTATGCCCCTATGTAAACTTTTCAAATGCCCTGTTATACTATGCCCCTATGTAAACTTTTCAAATGCCCTGTTATACTATGCCCCTATGTAAACTTTTCCAATGCCCTGTTATACTATGCCCCTATGTAAACTTTTCAAATGCCCTGTTATACTATGCCCCTATGTAAACTTTTCAAATGCCCTGTTATACTATGCCCCTATGTAAACTATTCAAATGCCCTGTTATACTATGCCCCTTTGTGATCTTTTCAAATGCCCTGTTATACTATGGCCCTATTTGAACTATTCTGATGCCCTGTTATACTATGCCCCTATGTAAACTTGTCTGATGCCCTGTCTACTGACAACCCTAAACCCATATTTCACATCCTCTAACATCAATCCAGACCGGCTTAAATTACCGGCACTACCGGCACTACCGGCACTACCGGCTTTGTTCGTGACGTTCGCCGTTTCAACATGTCTTAAGGTTAAGTCCCCGTGTCCCCATCCCCCCCCCCCCCCCCCCCGCCCATCCTCATCTCTTTTGTCTCCTCTTCTTCGTAGACCAACACAGGAGTACTGGTGTCACAGTCTATCACAGTCGATCAAAGTCTGTCATTATCTATCGCAGGCTATTTAAGTCTATCACAATATTACACATTCCACTAAAGTCTATTAAAGTACATCACAATTAAACTCAATTTATAAATATCGTAACCCATCAGTCTTTTGGTCTATTCCAGGGGTCTCCAAACTTTTCAGTCCGAGGGCCGCATTAATTATCAAATTTCAGTTCGGGGGCCAGTTTCTTCCAGGCATATCTTTGATTGTTTTGGGCAAAGTTCCTCAGCCATCACCAACAAATGTTTTTTTCCGTGGACAATAAGATCTCCGCGGGCCGGATGAGAGGACATCGCGGGCCGCATCCGGCCCGCGGGTCGTAGTTTGGAGACCCCTGGTCTATTCAATAGTCCATCGGTCTATCTTAGAATCTAAAGCAGAGTCTTTCAGGTCTATATTAGAATCTATAGCAGAATCTTTCAGTGCTATCCTAGAATCTATAGCAGAATCTTTCAGATCTATCTAAGAATCTATAGCAGAATCTTTCAGTGCTATCCTAGAATCTATAGCAGAATCTTTCAGATCTATCTAAGAATCTATAGCAGAATCTTTCAGTGCTATCTTAGAATCTATAGCAGAATCTTTCAGATCTATCTAAGAATCTATAGCAGAATCTTTCAGTGCTATCCTAGAATCTATAGCAGAATCTTTCAGATCTAACTAAGAATCTATAGCAGAATCTTTCAGTGCTATCTTAGAATCTATAGCAGAATCTTTCAGATCTATCTAAGAATCTATAGCAGAATCTTTCAGTGCTATCTTAGAATCTATAGCAGAATCTTTCAGATCTATCTTAGAATCTATAGCAGAATCTTTGAGGTCTATCTTAGAATCTATAGCAGAATCTTTGAGGTCTATCTTAAAATCTATAGCAGAATCTTTGAGGTCTATCTTAGAATCTATAGCAGAATCTTTCAGTGCTATCTTAGAATCTATAGCAGAATCTTTCAGATCTATCTTAGAATCTATAGCAGAATCTTTGAGGTCTATCTTAGAATCTATAGCAGAATCTTTGAGGTCTATCTTAAAATCTATAGCAGAATCTTTGAGGTCTATCTTAGAATCTATAGCAGAATCTTTCAGTGCTATCTTAGAATCTATAGCAGAATCTTTCAGATCTATCTTAGAATCTATAGCAGAATCTTTGAGGTCTATCTTAGAATCTATAGCAGAATCTTTGAGGTCTATCTTAGAATCTATAGCAGAATCTTTGAGGTCTATCTTAGAATCTATAGCAGAATCTTTCAGGCCTATGTTAGAATCTATAGCAGAATATTTCACTATCTTAGAATCTATAGCAGAATCTTTGAGGTCTATCTTAGAATCTATAGCAGAATCTTTGAGGTCTATCTTAGAATCTATAGCAGAATCTTTCAGGTCTATGTTAGAATCTATAGCAGAATATTTCACTATCTTAGAATCTATAGTAGAATCTTTGATGTCTATCTTAGAATCTATAGCAGAATCTTTCAGGTCTATGTTAGAATCTATAGCAGAATATTTCACTATCTTAGAATCTATAGTAGAATCTTTGAGGTCTCTCTTAGAATCTATAGCAGAATCTTACAGATCTATCTTAGAATCTATAGCAGAATTTTTCATTCGTCGAAAGATTAAAAAACGAAATCTAATTTTAACCTTCGGATAGTCTGGTATTTCATCTCCTAATTACCATCTTTTTTTGTGTGTTCTCTCTTTTTTCTCTCCATTTTTCTTTCTTTTTTTCTTTCCAGCCATAGTTTTCTAAAAGGTTTCTGTATTCACTCGATAAAAAAGGTCAACGTTCTTCTAAAGATATTCGAAAATCAGATTGATAAGTTACTTCAGACATGCATCACATGGTCTTTAAACTCTTAGCAATTATAAATGTTTTACACTTTTAAAGAATTAATATGTTAAAGAAACAAAATAACTTGCTACATTTTAGGTCATCGGGAAAATCCGAGTTTTTTATTTTATTTATTCTCTACGACGCCAAATTTGGAAACCAGTTAAACAAGAACAACAACTCTAATTTAGTCCGATTACCTCCCTTATGAAAATATTTAACAGTACAGTGACGTCTCTGAATACAAATGTTCGATATGGTTTTAACATTAAGTAGAAAGTAGAATAACATTAACAATAACAGAACTGTAATTTACCATACTAGTAGACATAAACTACGATTCATAAATTTTAAAACAATATCAACAACAACAGCTGAGCTACACAAAAATTCCCAGAATCAGCAGTTTATAAACATAAATCAAACAATCAAAATCCGGAACTATCTAAAATTGTACCAACTAGAAAATCTGCTTCTATATATAGAACACTAATTTCTAAACCAGACTAAAAAATTACGCGACTAACTTCCTCCACCATTTACCACTGACAGCTAATCAGAATTTACATCCACGATTCTACACGGAAGGTGACTTTTATTACCTACATTATTACCTGGGATAGCGAGAGTTGCTTCCTCCTGGCCATAAAGTGTTTGACCACCAAATGGTGTCGTTTATTTATACACTTCTGTCAGTGTGGGGTCATTACACTAAGACCATTTGAGGAAAATTACCGAGGTAATCCTACCATAAACCACATATGTAAAGTCTACTTCCGTGTTAGACAGGAAACAGATTTGTCAGGGGTGGTTAATACACAAATTAAGGCTAATTATAGAAAATAAAATCACGTGGTCGGTGGCATATATCTTTTGAAATATAAACTGGCGGCACACTCATATGTAACAATCTACACAGACATGCATGTGAACACGCATACAAATATACATATAAATGCAAAAACACACTAAACACACACATTGACATGTACATCACTCTCCGTGTAATATAGACATATATATATATATATATATATATATATATATATATATATATATATATATATATAGGAAAACATATATATATATATATATATTTATATATATTTACATATATATATGTATATATATATATATATATATATATATATATATATATATATATATATATATATATATGAAAACATACATACATATATATATACATATATATATATATATATATATATATATATATATATATATATATATATATATATATATATATATATATATATATATATATATATATATATGAAAACATACATACATATATATATATATATATACATACATATATATATATACATATATATATATATATATATATATATATATATATATATATATATATATATATATATATATATATATGTGTGTGTGTGTATGAAAACACACATATACATATATTTAAAATTGTATATATATATATAATTAATTAGAAATGTATGTTTTCCTATACATATATAATAATTTTAACAACAGCTAAAGTTGATTTGTAGAAATTGTACACTAACTCGGGTTTATCCTTGACCTCTAACGTTACGGCCGTTAAAGAAAGTGGTTTCTATTAGGTCAGTCGTGAGCTGTCACTCGGCTTTAGGCGAAGTTGACGATATCCCATAATTGACCGGTCCGTGTGTGAGTAAACGTGCGAGTCGATCACGTGATAGCCGCCAAGGTTTGGGTTAATACAGATTAGGTTCAATCAAATCAGGTCAGGGACGACAACTCTGAGATTAACAGTTTTAACATTTCGAATTTAACCCTATAATGACTGTACATATCTTGATACTAGCTTTTTTTTTCTTTTTTGACCGTCAAATAATCTGAACATAAACTTTAAGAGACTAACAAAAACTATTTTTAAAATACTTAATGATAATACGAATAATAATAAAATTAACATTAACATTAACTTTAACTTTAACTTTAACATTAACATTAACATTAACATTAACATTAACATTAACATTAACATTAACATTAACGTTAACATCAACATCAACATTAAATTTAACATTAACAGGAACATGAACAGGAATATGAACATCAACATCAACAGTGACTGTCACAGTAACAGTGGCTATAACAATGAGAGTCAGAATCCGAATGACAATGACAATAATAATAATAAAATTCAAAAAATTAAAACCAACAGGCAGAGTGAGTTCCATCCCATGCTATTAAACTGAAGGAAAGTATGTTTTTAAAAAAAGTTTCATCCAAGCAGTGTGATTAAAAAAAATGTTTTCACAAATATTGACTTGATGCCGTCGTTTTTTAACTTCCTGTTTGGTTATTGTTTCTCTTCCACTGTGTTTCACACAAAAACTCGACTTGCTTCAAGCCATAGAGCTGAACTTCTATTTTGGTACATCTCGCTTTAACAGATCAATAGCGGTAGGATAGAAGACTTTAAAACAGACGATTTGTTGAAACAATCTTGTCAGAAAATCTAAGCTATTGTGTGCAGGGGCGTTTGTCTTGGCTATGTATAACCCTATATACTCCTACATATATATATATATATATATATATATATATATATATATATATATATATATATATATATATATATATATATACTAGCTGCATCCCGTGCTCCGCCACGGTAAATCTTTTTTAAATGTACCAACTTGGGAACAGGACAAAACTAAACACAACACAAACGAACGCAAAAAAAAAACACAAACGAAAAAACAAACACAACACTCATAACATAAACACAATTTAAATGCAATCATAAAGGCATATTGCTCACAGTCTAGCCCGTAGCGCAAAATCGCGCCCTTTCCGGTGATTTGCACCCCTTTCAAACTTTCGATTTGCACCCCTGTCCCCCCCGCCCTAAAACTTTCGATTTCCACCACCCCCCCCCTCGCAAATTTTTTCCAACCCACTTTGGCGCCCCCTAAGGTTGGCACCCGGGGACATATGCCCCCCCCCCCTCGCTACGCCTCTCCTATAAAACCCCTAGCTTGTCCGCAAACCGAAAGATAGAATAATAATTAGTAAACAGTATAAATAATAGGCAGTATTTAAAATATCCGTGTTTTACCTACAATATTTCACTTTATCCATTCACGCATTTTTTCCCAGTACTTTAAATTTTAAAAATTTACAATAGAGTTTCATAACTAAAACCATTGCGCACCGAATGAACGTGATGACGCGTCTATAATAGTGCTTAATAGTTGATTAAAAATTATAAGTAGTAAACATTACATTCAGTGAATAAAACAAATAAAAAATAGCCTTTTATCAATCAATGCTAATTATAATATTCCAACAATAATGTACTTTTACACGTCTGCATAATTTGCATTCACATTTTGCTAATTATATTAATCCAACAATTATTCCGTCTTGCAGATTTTGCATTCACATTTTTAGCGTGAGTTCAATTTATTTTTAAAATACCTCCCTTGGCAAAATTACTAAACAGTTTAATTAGATTTTTCTAACCTACAGTTATTATGTTATAAAAATGTATCCACTTTTTCTAGGAATATAAACGAAAACTATATTTGACATTGATCCTTTTAATATGTTTTAGCAATGTGCGTGTATTTAATATTCTCTTTACGTTATGCAAAATTGTACAAACAGTGGAAATTATAAAATAGCTCTATGCCGCTATATAAACAAACCCTACTCTAATACTTATAATAAGACACTGCGGTGCACTGAAAAGCACAGCATGGTGCGTAGTTTACTTTTATAGTCCCAAAATCTATAGCGATGACGGACGGAAGGACACGCTCAGCCCGATTATATTATAGATATATATATATATACTAGCCGTCCCGGCCAGGCCCTGCTCTGGCTTCTGTGAAAAACCTTTCTGTTAAAGACCATTACCTGTGTGTTTAGTAATCATCATAAACCCGGCATTGCACACCCAAACCAAAACCAAAACAACAAAACGCAAACATAACGCTAACACAATTACAAATACAAACGAAAACAAAAACCTAACAACTAACCCAACCACAACCACAAACACCAATACGAACACAAAGAAAAAACACAAACGAAAAAACAAACGAAAACAAACCAAATACAAACGCAAAACCAACCACAAACACAAATACAAACACAAACGCAAAGAAAATAAAACACAAACGAAAACGAAAAAAGAAAGAACAAAAACGAACCAAATCAAAACGCAACCACTAACGGAAACCCAACCTAAACACAAAGAAAACACTAACGCGAACATGAACGCACAGTGCTCAGAGTCTAGCCCGGGGCGTAATCGCCTGTTTCAGCTTAATAAACGACTATAGTACCCCAACTTATTCATAGTCTTTTGCACTCACTTTAATGAACGTAGGCGCGAAACCGAACACGGGAGGCCCGGGACCCCAAATAGCACCCTGTCTGGGCGCCAGAGGACGCACCATGACGTCACCGCCTGATTGAACTTAGTAAACGACTATAGTACATAACTTATTCATAGTCTTTTGAACTCACGCGAACGTATATACCATAGCGTACACCGGAAGGCCCGGGGCGCCAAATAGCACCCTGTCGGGGTGCCGGAGGACGCCCGGATTTGATTCACTTAAAGACTATAGTAACCTTTCTTACCCATAGTCTATCGCACTGTTAAAAACAAAACTATGCAGCATGGCGCTCACATGATAGCCCAGGGTGCCAAATCGAACCGTGCAAGGGCGCCGGCGGACGCGCCTGTTTCAATTTAGTGAACAAAAATGATAATACTCCAAGCTTATCCGTAAATGGAAAGAAATAAACATAGGATTTGTAGGACCTGGCTTATTAAATGTTATTAATTTAAAAAAAAAAAATATTGAACAGTATGTTCAGTGTATAGAATAAATAAAAGGCAGTGTTAAAAATACCTAACGACATTGCACTTAATCAATCCCCGCTAATTATGTAATTATTTTTTTTTTCTTAACACCAAAAACAAAGTAATAAAATGTAAATTCTTTCTTAAGAATTTTTTTTTATTAAAGGGAAGTAACTGTGCAGTCAATACATTTCTGACACAATTTTAGAAATTTTATAAACGTCGATACACTTTTAAAAAATGTTATGTCGCGTTCATAATTGAAAATTATTCTTCTAACTAAATAGAATGAAAATTGTTTTTAAAGACTTTCAATGGTAATTTTTTTGACTCGTACATTTAGACTGTGAGCACGATAAAAAATCTAACACTTAAATCCATAGAACTGTCAACGACAAACTTTTTTGCCACACGTTACAGAACTGAGCTTTATATATTAGATATATATATAATATATATATATAGGCCTATATATATATATATATATATATATATATATATATATATATATATATATATATATATATATATATATATATATATATATATATATATATATATATATATATATATATATATATATATTTATATATATATATATATATATATATATATATATATATATATATATATATATATATATATATATATATATATATATATATATATATATATATATATATATATATATATATATATATATATTTATTTATAAATATATATATTTATAAATTTATATATATATATATATGTATATATATATCTATATAAATTATATATATATAATTTATATAAATATATATATATATATATATATATTTATAAATATATATATTTATAAATTTATATATATATATATATATATGTATATATATATCTATATAAATTATATATATATAATTTATATATATATATATATATATATATATATATATATATATATATATATATATATATATATATATATATATATATATATATATATACGGCCCCTCTCTGTCTACCGCTATATCAATATATACATACGCAAATATATATATATATGTGTGTGTGTGTATATATATTATATATATATATATATATATATATATATATATATATATATATATATATATATATATATATATATATATATATATATATATATATATATAACATGAAGTTACAATATTGCCAAAACATGATGAACGAACCACGAAATCCAGAGATATTTATCTATAATTTATTCAAAGTACTGGCCTCTTATATCTCTCTAAAGATGTATTTAGCCTGCGCCATCTGTACTTAAAATTGCATTTCATATTTCATTTAGTTTTCAAACTTCTTTTAAAGTTAGCTTTGATTGATTTTATATTAACCACTTAAACAAAAATCTGTTCACTCCACCAAACTATTCACTTTTGGTTTAATCAAATTAATACTAATAAGTTTCGTCTTACTCCATTGTCAAATCTCATTAATTTTACATTGATTTTCCCTTAATTGCGAACAATCCATTTACGATTTTGTTACTGGACACTGTTTTAAAGGACACTTTACCTACGTCAAGTATACTCGGGTTAAATATGTTAAAAGAAAATAAGCATCTCACTATCGTCAATTCCATTTCTCTCTAATTGTCTTTGTAATTCCGTTCATAGTCTGCCAATACCTCACTATCCTTTAATCCGTTTCTTTAAAACCTCCCCATCATTACATCACCCCCCCTGTCTTTACTGTCCACAAACAATCAAGCCTAATTACAATTAACGTGAACACATTAGCTGGAAGTAAAATCATTCGCCATCAGAGTCTTAAAAACAAATTGTCGTTAAAAAGTAGGATAATCGAAGAATTTTTCACAAGTTTGCTTGAGCTAATGGGCTCCTAATCCTGAATTTCCGAGGGATTAAGAAAAAAAAATCTCCCGTAAATTGTGTGTAAAGCAGGTCACGTGATATGTCCTGCTATTCCCTCCAGGTCAACCAGAGATTCTCGGAGTTCGATGAACTTCTAGCACCAAATGTTCTGTGAACTTGTAGCATCAAATGTTCACATCCATGCACCCCATGAACCAAATATTAACTACATGGCTCACCATGAGGCCATAGGTGACCAAACACAACCACCCCCCCCCCTACCATCCGCTTTTTTATGGTGAACTCTTGTTCTAATAATAGCAACATGTTTAGCTCACTCAAGGCTACTCTCATTTTACATTTAGTTAACATCACAAGATGGTCCTGTTGATGGCTATTTTTAGATCCAAGATCACTCATAAAACGAAATTTATCAATTTACTTAACTTGGCTTATAAATACGTGTATGTAATTCTCGTGTCTTATAGTGCCTAGCGGTAGAGTGC